GGTAGTGAGGTTGGCCCAGAATTGGACTTTGTTTTGTTCTGCTGTGCATGGGGTCGCTATGAGTTGGTTCCGACTCAATGGCACCTGACAACACAACAACCTAAAATAAAGCATGAATTTACATAAAATATATTCTTTCTATGATTTAATCTCCCACACTAGAATTATCTATTAATTTTCCCTTATACAAATTTTTATAAGATATTTTAAACTAAAGATCTAAAAATATATTCTGAATTCAAAAAGGAAAGCTGCTGTATAGCCAAGATCAGTGAATTATAGTAAATAAAACTTCCATTTCCAGCAGCTGAAAAATTCAGACTATTTCAATCTAGGATTACTCGACTTTCAGAATGGTCTAGGTAACAGTCACAAGTAATTGCATAACCTGTTACAACAGTCAACTACTTTTGTCAGAAATAGGTTATTTAGAAAGTTGTTTGAAAAGAAAGATGATAGCAAGTCCTTGATAAAGAATATGAGAGTGAATCTTAGCTTATTTTCTCAAATGATACTTCCTTCAACAATTCCACAAATAGCTAGCAAGTCATTTCAATAGATACCAATCGCATAATAGGCATACATTTTGAATTGCCTCTCTCTACCTGTAAGGAAATTGCTATCATTCATGGGTAAATGTAGGGAGGTCAAGGCAATATGAAATTCCATTATTATACTGCCACATAGAAGTGAACCAAAAATTCAACTTTCCAATAATATTCAGGCAAGCAGAAACTTCTTAGTAGGTTTTATTCTCTCAAGTACATGGACTGATGCATCAGTGGAGGCAGAAATAATCAAACCTTACAGAGAAAATGAGACATACTGTGAATGGACCACTATAGCTAGCTATGATCTTTTAAATAGGTTATCAAAATATTATGGCTACAGAAAGCTGTTGTTGTTGTTAAGTGCTGTCGAGTTGGCTCTGACCCATAGCAACCCTATATAGGGTTTCCGAGGAGCAGCTGGTGAGCTTGAACCACTGACCTTGCAGTACAAATCACTGACCTTGCAGTACAAACCACTGACCTTGCAGTACAAACCACTGACCTTGCAGTCAGGCACATTAACCCACAGTGTCACACTATGAAAAATAATATATTGGATGTTTCTTAAAAAGTAGGATATAAAATCCAGATATTGTCAATAAAATCTTGGTTTAAATGACTGCTTCTGGGAAGGGCCTTCCCTAATCCTACAATTTATAACTGCCTTTTAGCCATTCTACATTACATCAGCCAACTTTATTTCTCTGCAAAAACACATTAGGAGGTCCTAGAAGGAGAATAGGAGAAGGATAATAGGATGTGCTTAAACCCACCCAGATAATTATCTTAGGAATTAAACAGCTGAGACCCTAAAAGCAGAATGTTTGAGGAAGTTTGTTGATTTATTGTTTCCTTTTCCCTAAAGGTAGAATGTTTGAGGAAGTATATTGCCTTATTCTTTCTTTTTCCAAAGAATGCTATCTTGATGTTAAAATAGATGAAGTGTTCTCCAAATGTAACTTACCTATATAATGTGCCTGCTCTTTGTGACAGACAAGA